ACGAACTTTCGGACCGGCGCAGTATGTATACATATATACATACATACAAGCATGCATGCATGCATGCATGTCAATGTATGTATGTATGTATGTATGTATGTATGTATGTATGTATGTATCAAGCATGCAGTCAGCAAGCAGTTGCAAGAACATTCTGTGGTGAACCCACAAGTCGAAAACTACAGCCTCAGCACTTAGCCAGGTTTTGAAAAGGACCCCAGCATGCGCATGCAAGCTCCTCCTCCTCCTCCTCCTTCGTTCAACTCTATCAGCAGCATGACCCTGAACCCTCAGCCCCTAAAACACCCGAGCAGAACCCTGGAACCTGAGCAGCCGTTCGAGCCGGCTTGCGCGGAGGGGTGGAGCCTGGGAAAACAGATTCCATGTGGACCGACGGTTCCTTCGGGCGCACGTGCGTGCTTCGGCCTCAGTGCCTCCGACGTGCTCAGATGAAGGGTTGAAGAATCTCTGAGTCTGGGTTCCACCGGAGGATGCTAGCATCTTGAGCTGTGTGTTGCTCGGCTCCATTTCAGCCTTTTCGGGTTTCCGCTCGATGGCTTCGGCATTCCTCGCCGAATTTGCCTTAAGCAACTGCATGGCTTACCCCGCGCCTCATCCTCTGATGAGACGAGGAGCCGCTTCCCGAAAGATCGAAACAGCAATGGTGCTTAGTTGCTCTTGGAGTGTGTGTGTGTGTGTGTCTGTTTGATGACAGAAGCTCTGTAAATACCAGTATCGGCAGCATCTTCTCCAACACCGTCACCGTCAGCAGCACAGCGCATCATCATCATCATCATCATCATCATCATCATCATCATCATGTCATCAACATACGGGAGCCGTCACAATCTTTTCGATGGTCACGACACGTCACTACCATCGTGGACATTGACATCATGCCCGGGTACGAGCTAGCCCAGGATCAAGAAGTGAATGATGGGGGTGGGAGCTCCAAACCCAAAGCGAGCTTTCTTCCGCCCTCTGCGCAAGGTTCGTCGGTCGCTTCTGAGCAGTCCTGCTTTGCAGCTGCCATGTGTACCCTGTGCACAACTAACCATTCTATGAACATGCATCGACCTCGAATCGACACCTGTGAAACCTGGCAGTCGCGCCAACGGCCGCCGGAAAAACTTCTCGCACTTTCAGGTGCTTCCCGAGGTCAAGATGTGCGACATCAAAATGCCATCGAACTACAAACATATCTCACCATTCCTTTACATCCTGCATGGTGGCATCGGGTAGCAAGTTTGCAAACTTCTGCATGTCGGCGAGGATCTTGCTGGTGCTTTGATCTTCTGTTGTCTCCAGGCTGCGAAAATCACTTCCGAAGCGCCGCAAAATGTATCCTTCCTTTATGCCTTTCACGTCCGCAGGACGTTCGACTTTGGTGACCACTGGCGGTGAGGCAGTGCCAAAAGCGAGACCCAGAGGCCGTGCGTGCCACATGAACTCCCTCAAGCTCTTGTCCGGAAGCTCGAACACGCAGATCATGCCTCGGAGATGAAGCTTCCAGGCGAATTTCCAAAAACACCGAAGAGCATGCCATACTGTAGCAGACATGCGGAAACATGCCCATACCCTTCTCCATCGAATTACTGACATGGAGCCCGATGACATGTAGATCAATGGTATCTTGTTGACTTTGAAAAACTTGTGCCAAGGCTCGAACCGCAGTTGGAAAGCCTGCCATGTGACTGGAGATGTCTTTTAGGACCTCGTCGAAGGGCTTGCCTTCCACCGGAAGCAGCATGTTTTTGTCCTTAGTTCGTGGCTTGCTGGTGGCTTGTGACGGACCACTTGCCGTGCAGCCCATGGGCGCATCGGAACAAAAACAATCTGCGAGTAAGGCCCCGTCCAATCCGTACCGTGTCAGCTTGTCACCCACTCGTATGTTCATGTGGAGAGCCTCTTCGTGCACCTCCGTCACGATTGGCGTTTTGCCTTTGAAGGCAAGGCCGAGAGGCTTCGTCTTCCACTCCAACTGTCTAGACCTTCCGTCGACCGTCTCAAACTCCAAGAGCAAGCCTGACAGACAAGAGAGAGAGAGAGAGAGAGGGAGCGAGAGACGGCAGACCCTCGTAGACAGAACAGAGGCGACCAAAATAGGAGAATATTGCCTGTGGAGCCAAAGTCGCGAGGCACCTCAGGAAGTTGAGAAACCAGGCCGCTGAGCTGTGACCAGAACTCATCGTAGGACTTGCTCCGGATCGGGCGCAGCCCATGCTTTTCCTGAGTCTGGAAGAGTCAGCCACAAAATGTTTTTGGCATCTGGTCCACCTGCATCACTCGCTGACTGGTGCCATCGAGTATTGAAGCTAAAGGCTTCTAAAGATGAAGATGAATACCAAGATGAACACCCCGTAGCACCAGGGTAGTGGTGGTGGTTTCGTTTCGTTTCGCTCGCAGCTAGGGAGTCCAAACCTTGCGTACAGAATTCTGTCAGGACGACTGTTGTCGCCCCGGCTGTCATAGACAGCACATACACCTTGGTATGCACGGGATGACCAGGACATAGCTGGTAGCGGTGGTGGTCGTGGGTGGCAGGTGGTGGTGGTGATCCTGAAGATGTAGATGGTGGCAATTGCTGTTCGCGCTGCGACGAAGACAACACTAGTTACTAGTGACTATGATAGCGATAACGGTCTTGCTGAAGTTGACATTGACACTACCCGATGGCAGCAACAACATCAAGACCAAGGCCACCACCATCGCCACCAGCGAGAACAACACTAAACTTTATAACTTATCTGAGTCTTATGTATGAGAATCCGGCTAAGAAGGTCTCCTCACCGAGAGACAAACCTTTTGGATTGTCGTGACAGGCGGATGTGGGCACTCATGCTTTGCCAGCTCCTAGGCTTCGCCTGCACGCGCCCGCGCCATGCGCCGAATTCTGCCACGTGCTGCCACCAGCAAGGAGGCAGCTGCATCAGAAGGTGTTTCACATGCACACATACATACATACATACATACATAAATACATACATACATACATACATACATACATACATACAGACATACATACATACATACATACACACACACACACACACGAAAACGCACACTTAGTTATACCTCACACTTTCATGGGTTCGAAAGTCGGAGCTGTTGGGGCCGTCTCGGGGGCCGGTCATGACCGAGGGCCAGGCGGTGCCAAGCTTTACGAGCTCGTCTCCCTCCAGCACCCCGGAGTGCTGCGCGTCGTCACTGACATAGGCTACAATGGCAGGCAGCGATTTGTGAAAGCCGAGCCCGAGCGGCTGATTTTTCCAAATGCCCGTTTGCATCCATCCAGTGGGCGTCCTGAACTCGAGCACGAGGAAGTCATCTTCGTCCAGAACAAGCGGCGGAGGCTCTGTGGGTGAATAAGAGCCGCAACAGGCTGCCGCGATGAGCACTCCAGCACAACCGCATCCAGCCATAATCCACCCAAGAGTAGACCAAAGTATTCGTGTCCGCCTCTGGATGATCATCAGCCTCATGCCAGGCTTTAGAACATCCCCTGGCAGTAAATCAGAGAGCATCTCTACCACTTGGCCGTAGGCCGGTGATGGCACAATTCGCAGCTTGCCGGAGTCAAGCACACTATACAGCTGATCTCCTTTGTCCACCACATCACCACGGGCGACAAACCATTGCTGGAAAGCAGACCCGTCCGCACGAATCCCTATCTGGCCGCGACTTTCTGCCAAGGGTTTCTGGAACCAGCGATTTGGGATCGAAATCGCTGCTACACGCTGCCCGGTAGGAGTTGCTGAGCACAGCAAGGCTGCTTCCGGAGCGAACTGGAAAAGCTGATGGTTGTCCCGCTCGCCAGTTTCGAGCTGAAGCTTGAAGCTCCGAAGATTCGAGAAACGCAGAGAAACGCTTCGCTTAAAGTGCGCGGGGCTTAGGTGCTTCGGATCCGAAGGGTCGTCAAGGGACTCCGCCCGTTCTGACGCAGACAGGACCACGCTGCCGGCGTTCATGTTCTGATGAACAGCAACCGAGGAGTCGTTCGATCTAAGAGCCTCCGTCCAATTCCCAGAGACATCAAGGACCCTCACCACCTTCTTGCTGTCGACCTTGTGCTTCCAGTTCATGTCAAAGAAGGACAATGCAAACTGAGGCAGCATCACGGGATGGTGGGTCTCTGGAGCTCGGAAACTGACGTTGGCTACGAGCTTGCTGGACGCCAAGGTAGACAGGACGGCGAACCCATCTCGAATGCCCATCTTTTTGGCGTGCCAGGGATTAAAATCTCGGTTCAGTGCTACAAGCACCATCTCGACCTCTGTGCCGTTTTCACCTAAGTTGCCCCAAAGCGCTGTCGAACAAGAGCTCAAATCACACGATTTTGACACTCCTACTCCATTTCCGCTCTTCCTTCCCTGTAGCCCGTGCAGGAAGCCCTGTCCCCGCCTGTGAGCCTGTAGACGATGCTCTCTTCGCCATCGTCCGGGCCGAAGCCGCCCAGGTTGCGGTGAAGCGCCTCGCGAAGCTGCAGGCCGGAGGAGTCGCAGTCTCCATGCTCGGCATGCGCCCAGAGGCGCAGGCCTGGGACCCTTCCTGAAGCTGCATTGCACAGGATACACCGCAGGGCTGGGTTCAGCAAGATCTTGATAAAAAACAACACGAAGATTCACTGTATGCATAAGAAATCTTACCGAATCTTGAACAGGGCAGCTTTGAATGGCATGGGCGCCGGGCTCCTCACAGAAGGGATGGCCAATCTAGCATGCAACATACCCAACTACACCTGGAACCGTAAGCGCAAATTTAGCGTTGCAAGTTAGCACCTACATGCCTAACACAGTCTCTTGTCAGCGAGCCTCTTGAAAACAGGTCTTTCCCACAAGAATGAGGGTCACCACGAACGCAGCACAAATAATTTTCGTCCAGCGGAGCCGGGAGAAGTGGCCAAACCTGGCGCTGGCATGACGAGATGTTGATGATGATGGTGATGATGATTATGACGGTAGTGACAAGAGCAATGGCGATGCTGTTGCTGATGGTCAGCAGCATCATCAGCACTACTATGACTATTCGCCGCTATTGACGTGTTCGCAGTACCCATGTTGCCAACAACTGATCATAATTACAGCGTAGCTGGATTGAAGACATGGTTCACACTGCTTGTGCTGCGAATCGTGATTATTGTACCAGTCTTTTATCCATTATGATACTCATGCCATTCCGACTGACCATAGCTGGCAGCATTCAAGCCTGACGCCATAATTTTTGTTCCACGACTAGCGGCTACCTCTGCGACAACTGCGAGTCCTCAACACAGGTCCTCGGAGGAATACTCGATTGCGACAAGTATACAAGTACTTCCTTCCAGGGCTACCGGCGGTGCTTGTAGTACTGCACTACGGCTCCTCGGACTGCTTCCAGCTTTAGCTTCGTGTGTGATCCGCATGGCGGCTAGTCCCTACATCGCACATCGGCATGTCCATGGATGGGGTTGCATTTGTTCCTGAATCGCAAGCGGCGGCTGCGCCGGTATTGCGGGTGATGGGCGGGATAAGTTGTCCAGTCGAAGCCTGTTTCTGCAACCGCACGAGCTTCGTTCCCAAATCGTCTGGAGGTTGTTCTTCAATCGCACGGATTGCAAACCCAAGATGACTGAACCAAGTTGTTCTCAAAATTAAATTGTCCCTACCGTTTCAACAACGGCAACGTGCTCTGATGGCAGATGTAGCTATTGCTGCTATTACTCGCGGTCGTCCTGGTTTGTGGCAGTGGGGTCGTACAAGAAGATGAAGTAGTAGTAGTAGTAGTAGTAGTAGTAGTAGTAGCAGTAGCAGCAATAGTAGCAGTAGTAGTAGCAGTAGTGGTAGCAATAGCAGCAGTAGTAGCTAACAGTAGCAGTAGCAGTAGCACTAGCAGTAGCAGCAGTAGCAGTAGGAGTAGTAGGAG